TGTTGATTTTATCCTTATTTTTTTTCTAACAAATCAAACATGTGAATAAGTTTATTTTATCCTGCTTATTGAAAAATGCTTTTTGTTGATGTTGCATCTCAACTAGTGGCTAGGTATATTTCAGACAAAATCTGGAGTCACTTGCGAATATATCATTCAAATATATATATATATATATATATATATATATATATATATATATATATATATATATAAGAGGAACTAATTGTATTCTCAATAGAAAGAGGAAGCCTACTTTATCCATAGAGTTCAAGTCTCAGCCTTAATATTTTTCACACTTTAAGGCAAAACTATCGAGCCCATGAGTTGAAGAATAACAAGCACAAGCATAAGGACTCTGTCATAGTACCCGTGAAAGAAACAAATTGAACAAAATATGCATGCAAACTTTATTTTGTTTCTTCATTCAACATCAACTTGAAGGTGCTTCTGCTTTTTTCGATGGGCACCATAGGAGTATGATTGGACCAAAAAAATGCTTACACACTAATTTTCGTGTAGCATACTAGCTCTTGCAATGTAATCAGGATTCTTGATTCCATGCCAGACACATTTAATGTCAGTTACAAACAAACAACTATTATAACACGAATAACTTTCCAATAGTAGTTAATTTAGCAAGGGCAGAAACATGATCACCCATATCCTGATATCCATACATTCATTCCATAATTTGGATTAAGAATAGCAAGAACCAAAAATAAAAATGACTATCCATGTTGATCCACCTCATAATTAGGTTTAAGATTTTTTGAAAAAAAAAACAAAGAATAAAAAAAATCAAATGCTAACTAAATAACAAAAAACAGCCCCTCAAAAAAATAGAAACATGAAACTTTGTCAATAGGAACTATCCCTGAATCTAACACCATAAAATTACACAAACTTACTACAGGAAGATAGCCAGACAATCTGGCATGAACATCAAAACCTGAAGTAAGAACATAATAAAGAAAAGATGAGACTACCTATGCAGTCAATTGTTGGGAAAGGGGATATATACTGCACATTACAATGCACAAAATAACACCTTTCAAGTTTAACATAACTATTAGGAGAAAAATATATACGAAGCAAAAACATCACAATCATTTGTATTATAGATACAGAAGAATAATAATTTTTAACTACGAAAACTTCCATGAATGCTAAAATACACAGGACTTAGTCCTGCAGATATACACTATAAAAGATCAATTGTAAAACAAAATGTTTCCCAATAAACAAGGATCCCTACTTACAATAAAAGTGGAAATCACTCAAGAAATTGGTCTAAGTAAGTGATGTTATCTCCTGTAAATCTGCTAAGCTGAATTCCAAATGAAAAATGATACAACCAGAAATCAAGAAAGGGTTTGAAGAAATGATACACCATAAAGAAGAACAGAAAATAGTGTCTTTATTGCTAAATTGTCATAAAGGATTACAAGGGGAATTATCCTCTCCATAGAGAAAATCCCCTTTCACAACTGAGCACTCTCAGTTACTCTCTATGAAATGTAAATGCATAAAAGTGTGTGATAACAATAAAGTCATTGCATTATATAGTACCCACTCTTGAATTGACTTTACAACTAATTAACTAACAAATTCAAGTTTCTAATAAAAGCCAAAAACTATTCCAACTGAGTGCCTTCTAATATATCTCTCCAAGTCCTGTCTGTTGTAGTCAATTTAAGGGATATACATCAGATTTTGCAGTCAATTTCCCACTTGTTGCAGTCATCTATTCCTTCCCGTTTTTCACTTCCAATGCAATCATCGGAGTTTAATGATTCTTACTTGCAAATGGAGTTTAATGATATCCATGTGGCTGCCACCAATGTGGTTGACACTCCAGAGTTTCAACCCGATCAATATTCTGAGGCACAAAATATGCAAAGGCCATTTTCACCTTCTGCCCCTTCCTTAGACTTGATTATTCCTCCTCATGCTCCAGTTCTTGTGCAATCATCGGATGAGGAGTATATTGATCCATATGAGCTAATAATAAACTTCGATAATATTGATGGAGCTTTGGATTTTGAATAAAGATTTAGATTTCCCTATTAATTGCCAAATGAGCTACTTTCCTATCTCATCCTCACATAGTCAAATTATCATCAGCAGAATATCATTACTTCATACCTCTTATCATTCTTGAATTGGAGTTTTGGTTGTTGAGAAAATTGTATAGTTTATATTGCTTTCTTCCATAGTGAAAATTGTATAGTTTATGTTGCAACTTTAGCTACCATCATTCATCCCATTACTTATGTAAGTAACAATTTTTGTTTTCTTCTGCTGTTTCATTTGTCTTTCAGTAGAAACGTCTGAAACAAAAAATTTGTCTTGTTTCGTTTCTTTCAAGTAGAAACTTTTATTGATGGCTTCAGTTGTAAAAATTTAACTTGTTTTGTTTGGAATTTATTATTCATTTGTACAACATTGTTAGTATTCAATCTCTTGTATCTAAAACTTTTATGTTGATCACCACAATCGATTTCAAGTAATTTATTTTAAGGACTTGGCCCACAAAAAAAATCTCATTATACTTATCAAACTTTTTGTGTTATTATAATTTATTAACTTATGGCACATAGTTTTGAGTTAGGATATTCTTACTACTTATTTTTTTATTTTTATTTTTTTTGATAACATTAACTTCACTTGTTGAATGAAGAGAGAGAAAAAAAATAACTTTTGAATCCAATGGTGATCAAAGTGGGAGTAGAAAAAATTGGTAGTAATAATATCATACCTTCATAGTTTTTGGTTATTTCTATATATTACTTTAAAGAAACCTTATCTTTTTTCGTGTAATAACAGTAACATATTTATTGGTACAAGTTTTTAAATATAATATACAAAACAATAAGAAGAGAATTTTTTTAGCACACATATACTCAAGTGGCTCCACTGACAAAAAATGTAAATAAAAAAATTAAAGCATTGATGCGCAAAACGGTGTGAATGTAACATGAAAATATTCTTTTTATGTTGCATAAGTATAAACCTCAAAATTAATATCATAAATAGGGTTCAAAATTATGATAACACTTTTGAGTTCGTCAATTTTAAAATTTAAATAAAATAAAATAATAACTGAAAAGCTATTATGGTAAATGATATATTTTTAATTTTGAACTAGTACATGATATGAATATTAGGAAATTTTTTATTTTCACACTTTGTTGTTTTATGGTATATCACTTAACTTATTATTCATACACATTGTGATTAAGTAAGTTTATTATTTATTATGTTGTTGTTTTAAATTTTCACTTATATTGATCGTGGTTACAAAGATATATCACTTAAACTCGTGATAGTATTATAAATATAAAAATCTTGATTTTTTTAACTTTTATTATTAAAGATTAAATGACAAAATATTTGAGGTTATTTATTTTGAAATTATTTTAAAAATCATCTTAATTTTTTTTACCTAAAAAATATATTTAAAAATAACAATTATTTTAAATAAATTAAAGATATATTGATTAAAAAAATTATTTATTTTAAATTTATTTTTATAAATATTATTATGATATTAGATAAGTAAATAAAATAAAATAATACTTAACTTAAATTTATTATCACGATAAAAGTATAAGATCACAATATTCAAATGCCTATCATCTAAAGAACTTAATTCAAATAAATTAAAATAATTTTTTTATTGTGAATCAAATACTTAAGTAATACATTTAAATAAAAGAATTGTATATAATTACCAAAACTAAATAAATGAATTATATATATATATATGTGTGTGTGAGACTAACCATATAATATAACTACAAGAAGTGAAAATGAAATTATCTTGAGATATTATTAGTGTTAACCCAGCAATTCAAAATTTTCACGTGCCACTAATAATTATATTATTAGTGAAAATTTTGAATTGATAGGTTTACACTAATAATATTTCAAGATAATTCATTTTCCTTTTTTGTAGTTATATTATATGGTTCATCACAAATATATATATATCATTTTTTTTTATATTTACCATCATTACTGCCTGATTGATTATAGTTGGATCGATATGAAATCAACGGTTAAAAAAAAAGAAAAAAATAATTATCGTTGATTCACAATTGATCCAACGATAACTAATCAAATAATAAGGATGATGAGCCTAAAATGGTAATAAGAATAACATTCCCCTCCTATTTATATAGAAATTATTTCTCACATTCGTCAAGAGTGCATGTAAATGTAATAGTAGACTTTAACTAATAACTAATACAACTATAAGAAAACTCTTATCAATTTCAAGACTTCTGTTTATATGCAAAAAAACGTGTAAATAATGAAAACTCCACAGTATCAACCTAATCAACATTATGAGGCTCACTCAATTCATGCAAAATCTCATTTTATCTTCTTCCTCATGTACTCATTTATTCCTTCCCATTTTTCACTTTCAATGTTGTCATTGAAGTTTATCTTAAGAGCAAATGCACTTCAATGATGTTTACCCATGTGACTGGGCAACTCCCACGAATGTGATTATTACTCTACAGTTTCATCCAAATTAATATTTTCTAGCTCTAAATATGTGACTTTATTTACCTCCATTCGTCCGATTACTTGACGTAAGTAATAATTTTTATTTTCTTCTATTGCTTTATTTGTCTCGTAAATAACAATGTTTGAGAAAAAAAATTTGTTTTATCTTGAAGTTTTTAATACCTATTTGGAGATTTCTCTATCAGTTCATAACAAGTCGAGCTGAGTATGATCATAACAACAATAAAACCCTACAATACTCTCTTTTTTTTTTTTTTTTTCCAATTTTGTGGAGAAAAAAGAATATAAAAAATCAATAATTATGCACCAAAACACGATCATTTCCCTTAAAATAACATGTCCATTAAAAAGACATTTTTTCCTTATTTTATATAAAGGAATTTTACAACCATTACGAAATTTCAAAGTTTTATTACGCTAATGAAAATCTGATTTTATATTACAAGTGCAAGCATTGCTGTTCAATGGATTTCATTTCTAATACTTGCCAAGAACAATCTCAGCTCTTTTGCTTTCTCCGTGTGTTCAGGTGACATGTCATTTTCTGAATCACTCAAATTAATCACTTCAATATGGTCACTGCATTGCTGACATTTTGAGGAAGAATGGGATTGCTTAGGTGGTAAAGGGCTGAGAAGATCTATGACCTCATTTTTATCTACATTGGAGACAGCCTCATTGCTAGATATGTTGTTAATATTCTGAACCAACCCATTATGTTCTGTGTCATTTGGAATCAACAGATTAGCTTCAGCCACAGCAGTTGCTAATATCCCTCTTGAAGAATCAGAAGGATCGAGGTTGGCTTGGTCTTCCAGATTATTATTATCAAACAACAAATTCTGAAGTTTAAGATCAAGCTCAGTCACAGATAACATAGTTTCCTTCTTCTTTGGTCTTCTTTTCTGAATATTTTGTTTCTTCCGTTGAGCTTTCTTCTCCTCAAACTCCACAATCTTCTCAGGACAGGCACTGTAGATGTTTCAAGATGATAATATTAATGTCACAGATGACAAACTTCAATGTAGTAGAAAATTTACTGAAATTTCTTTGGGTGCAGAACAGGAAGTACATTCTCAGGGCCGTAGTATTTTCAAAATATAGCATGGAAGATTAGCTTCTTAACCATTATTGCTCAAGAAGTTCAACAACAAACACTTTGGGGAAGCTTAAATACTTAGAAAATTTTAATGAACAGGAATGTTTATTCTTATTTAGATAATAATTGGCACTACAAAAAACAAAATATTGATTTCTATCCTAACCTACGCTTCTATCAGAAAGGCACTCTCAGCAAAATGTTATCTTATCCAGCCACCAGCCTTAATGAATTTGAGTTGTTTAAATAGATATTTTGCATAGATGCAGCAATAAACTTTGCATTACAGCCCAAGTTGTATGCAAAAATCAGCAAAATATACATTTGATAAGAATCAGATAAATTGCAATTCCTTTCTGTCATTTAGGGAATAAAGCAAGTTCATCTATTACATAATTTGCATTACCTTTCTAAAAGATCTGCAGGTGCTATTGAAGTTTCAAGTCCATCCATCTCTTCCCAAAAAACCTCATAGCATTCTCTACCTTGAACTCTTCGGCTCTTGATGATTTCTGACACAGGACACTTCATGGGGATCTGTAATAGGATATATTATATGAAATAAGAGGGATACATCTTTGTTAAAAAATAAGGAGCCCATACATACAATTCATGTTCACTAATATGATAAAAAAAGGTATTAGAGAAACTGTATGAATGACAGGTTAACCCTGGTTTATAGATGATATAATGAATGTGGTAGAAAGTAATGACTACAAATCAATGATCATAGAGCCAATTTTACACATTGCCAAATTCTGAAACTCTGCTACCTACTTACATTAGTTAATGAAATGGACAGCTCTGATCTTAAATAATGAACAAGTGAAAGTGAACGTCAGTTATTCAAATGTGATGGGATTCAAAACATGAGCAGTACCTCATGTAAAGGAAGGTTCAATCCGACTTCAGAAGAAGTTAACCGCAAATTTGCAAATCTTCGTAAATCTCTTTCGGCTATACTTGGAAGGATATACCCATCTATTTCATGAAATGTCAATCAGCTTCACAAAATAACCCCCAAAATTGCAGCCGAGAACTAGCACAGCACAATTTTATATTTCAAACTTCTAAGAATTCTGAGTTGGATAAGGATTAAATATAAACTCTACAATTTGTTACATTAAGAACCTGTTTTCTCTGAAGTCCACTGAAAGAATTCAGCACATATCTGCTGGAGTTTAATACGTTGAAATGGGTATTGAGCAAGAACCCTACAGGGATGAGTCAAACTTTGAGTAGCTGATAACTATAGTGTACAATTTATGATCCATATCTAATTCCTCAGACTACACAAAATATAAAATTCCAATTACAAATCTCAGAAGCTAAGTTAAATTTCAGCTAAATGCTTGGTATATGTAACTGCTTCAGACAGACTTCATATCAGTTTTCAGAAGCTCTGATTGGACTGCATATTCCGTTCTATGATATATGTCTAAATCCTGGAGGGTAAACTTTACCACCACTCTGTATTAAACCCTCGACTAGCGAAGGTAGGGGTAAAGAGCAATCTTTGTATACAATCTTACTATTACATATTTACAAAAAGGTTGTTTTCGGATTCAAACCCCTGACCTTTTTCAATCACAGGCAATTTTACAACTACTCCATGCTCCCCTCTTGGAGAGTAAGCTTTACCCCCTTAAAAAAATATTTAAAAGTTTTTTTTTATTTGAAACTACAACAAATCTCCTCCCAATCAAATGTTTATGCCAACAATCCATCAACAGTAAGATAACCAAGTTCCCCGGTTCTGATGGATAGTCAACATATAATTCCTAGTGAATTAAAGGTAAGAGTTACTTGATAACTTGGTGAAGATCCCGTGGCTCCTTTGATGTGTGGGTTCGGCCTTCAAGGCCAATTTTGTGGAAATTGAGACTTTGAATTGTTTGATGGTGATTATAAGGATTGTTAAGTATCAAATATTATATGGACTTATATGGACTGATTGTCTCATAAATTGTTGATCATGGAATGCCAATGAAAAGGGCTAAGTACCTAAGAGCTAAATTGTGGGTTTAAAATGTGATAAGGGTTTAATGACCCTAATTATGAGTATAATTGATGTGTACTACATAATGAACACTCCATAATGTAATTAGGACTTCATAGAGTGTGAAAGTCTCCTTTGATTTCCCTTGGGCATGTCTCGGCCACATGCTTGAAATGGAACTTGAAATTAGTTAAATTGTTTAGTGGTCATGACGAGTAACTTGTGGGCTAAGTTAAGGTAGTATAGTTCCTTGGGTATTGCTTTTGAAAGCATGAAAACTCTATGGCCCTATGCATATGTTTCGGCCTCTATGGGAACAAATAGGGTATGTTTGTGTTTTAGGGTCATTTGAATAATACCTATGATAAATGGAATATGTTGAAGTGTTTGAAAACTAAGTGGGCTTTGTTGGCCTCTAAATGATTAAGAATATTCAAATTGAATTCCTACTCTAGCTCTATATCTAAAGATTCTGAGCTCATGGGTCAAGCATTGGTGGAGGATTCTTGCTTTCTTGCAAAACAAGTAAGCGGTTGTGTAAGCTTCGAGAGGTAAACTCTATGTTTAAGGAATACTCCTCTCTTTGTATGTTCCACCATGGTCAAGTGGGACTATGGTTGGTATAACTGTATGACTGTAAGTCTAATACCTGATATAGGTGAATTCATATAGATATGTATGATAAGATGACGTGATATGTATATATAGTTCATAGCCATTGAATGTATGTGCGTTGACTAATCCACTGGAGGATCTAAGCTCTTGGAGGTCGCTGCATACATGTGGTGATTATCCCACTGGAGGATCTAAGCTCTTGGGAGTCACTATCATATGTTGACTTATCCACTTGAGGACTTAAGCTCTTGGAGGTCACATATGTCTGATATGATTTGATATGTTCAGTATATGATGTATATATTATGCTTTGTATCTGACCCTTCTTTCAGGAAGTGGGCTCAGGGATAGGGAATACTTTATAAATCCTGAGCTTACTGAGATTCTTTATCTCACCCCTTTTTGGGGACATGATTTTAGGTGTGCAAACCGTGGGAGAGCCCTCTCAGGTCAAGGACGTGATACAGGGATAGTCGAGCAGTTGTTTGTTATTAGATGGCCTTATTTTGAGTAACTGGCCGTATTTTGTATGACTATGTTCAGTATTCATTTTGGGGTCATGATGTCTAATCGTATGTTGTATATGGCATGTATATGTTTTGAAAGACTAGCATGTCATGATGTTTGTATGTTTGAAGTCTGATGCATATATGCATGCATTCATTCAGTTAGTTGCATGTGTTCGTAAAATGTATATAACATGATATGTCGAGATGATAGAATGTGTAGTGGCATGGAGCCAATAGGGATTGAGCCCATGGATGGGTCTTGTGTCCTTTGATGTACGAATTATGTATGCATGTTCTGTATTGGACTTTTCTGATTGGCAGGAATTGTTTAAAGAGTGGGATTTATTCCCTGGATGGTCCAGTTTACAGAGGAGATGTTGTCTGTTTGATTCTGTCAGGGTTGACACTTGTTATCATACCTTGATAGTCTTGGACCATTGTTTATGGTTACAGGATTGATAAGTTAGTAAAAGGAAAAGGAAAAAGTTAACTCACAAAGTTACGTAGGTTAACAGTGAGACTTTTAAGTACAACTTCTGCTTTTGCATGTTAATTATGCTGCGCTTTAGTACCATATGTATGTTAACTAACCGGCTCGAGACAGGGATGTTACAGTCATCACAGGCATGGGAAAAAATCACCAGAATATTGTATATAGTATAACAAACATTAAAATCCATCAAAACTAAAAGTCTTGACCCCACCTTGATATTACTTTATGGTACACATGCAACAAAGGAACTGGAAACAATGGACTAAATGAAGATAAAGCTACCTCTGCACCATATCTGAATCTGCTGCGTGGCATTTTGGCTTCATGTAAGCACTAATCACTTGCACAATGTTATCATCCCTCTGTAAATTATTCCCACCTCCTACATGAATACGAATACTAATAAATTTCTTGACAATAATCCTTAAAAACAATTTAAAATTCTTCTTTGTTAAAATATTAAGAGCACAGTCATATACTTTGGACATTTAAATAGTCTCTAAATTTTCTGAATTTAAAGTTTACCTATAGTACAATTTTGAGTTGCATGCAAATGATTACGACTAAATCGATTGAAAAAAATTTCTTGACAAAAGTAACAGTTGTATAACTGTAAGCTAATGGAATTAGAATGTAATATAGATGATATACCTTTTCTTCTTTTCACCCATCCAAGTCCTTCAGAAGTAATTTTTTTAAGAACAAATTTGTCCCCAATTGATTTAACTATCTGACAAGCTGACTCCTTCAACCATAAAAAAATATTGCAAAAACATAAGCATCCATATAACATGTAATCTTCAGCTCTGGTAAACAACAAAGGGTATTTTTACCAAAAAAAAAACAAAGGGTAAAAAGCCAAAAAGGAGGTAATATGACCATGAAGGAAAGCATTCAGGACATACCGGACCCAGACCATGAACTCCTTGATAATAGTCGCTGCCAAGAAGTAAGGAGAGAGCAATCTAAAGATCAAAAGTTACTTAGTTACTGATTTTCACAAGTAAATGAACCCAATACCTTTGAATCAGCATATATACAGGATTGGAACTCTGTCTTACTAAAAAAATAATCACAAGCATGTATGCACGTTTCTGTATTCAACACCAGACATGGAAAACCATTTCCAATTCAAACAAAGGAAGATCAATTAGGCTGCCTTTACGGGGCAACATCTGCTTTGAAGCAGGCTTGTCAATTAGGCCGCCCATGATGACAGGAAATCATGAACTGGAAAGTTAAAATTAGCCTATACTTCATGGACCTAACTTTCTCTTTTTGGGCATTGACATGCATAAACCTAACTTATTTTCATTAAACATCACTGAACAATGAAAGATCAGCTATAAAACAAAAGTAAATTAAAAAAAAAATAGAAGCAATCATTGTGATTCTTAATTATGTTGAAAATTCAATCAGAAATTTACCAATAAGTCCCTTCCAAATCCAAGTTTTCTTTCAATGTCTGCCATCTCATAACAAACAACATATCCTCCATCTCCTAACTCATTAATAAAAAAACTCTTTATAAGTCATATGAACGAATATAATTAATACAAAAGTACAAAACAAATCCACCAATAATAAAAAAAGGTGATCTACTCACCGAGACATATATCCCTATACACAGTCCTTGCACCAAAAAGGAATATATCTGAATCTTGACTGAAACATCCATCCTACCACAATTACAATGATAATAGGTTAGCCAACAATGATAATAGCATAAGCATTCCATGAATATCAGATAATTATAAAGTCAAAAAGAAAAAGATTTTGCCGGAAGATAAGCATACACAGTGCTTACACATAATAATTCAAAGTTCAACAAAGCACACTGAGCTTCAGCTTCTTCCATCCTGAATTTTGGAAAAGAGCAAGACTGTTATGCATGGAAAAACAGAGGAACCCAAGGGCTTCAAATTATACACCAGAAAACAGAAGACAAGGCAAGCAGTTGGGTTAATTGGTTGGTTGCTTCAGTCAGTTAGGCAGTTAGAAGGGTTATTAGTTGGGGGCTCGATGGTTAGACAATTCAGTCTCATGTTTGTATATAAGGGATATACCACTCTATTAAGAGTATCTTTGGACAGAATTTCAGTTAGACTGAGAGTACTCAATTGAAGGGGAGTGTCCCTTGTGAAGAGATTTCATCTCTTGTATGTTTATTTTCTTTCCATCAATAAAAATCATTCCTTCCTACCTTTTTCTCTATTATCTCTACTCCATTACTATACATTCAGCCATCTAGAAATCCAGAGCCGTAACAAAGACACTATTAGTTCAAATCAGTACAGCATCTTCTTTAATATCCTGAAATGCTACTTTTTCAATCAACTATTAAAAAGAAGAAAAACCAGATAATATCTATTTCTAAATATGGGGTTAGTACTAATACCGTTTACAATAAGACATCAAGAACATTTTTAATGTTTATATACAAGCATACTGCATACCATATTGTTAGAGAAATATAAAATCCTTAATGTAACCTCACCTAACAGCTTAAACTTTTGGGTTGAAATGGTTTTTTATATGGTATCAGAGCCCCGGTGTCACGGGTTCGATCCTCACAGTCTTCCATTTAATTAATAATCAATTAAGTCTTATGAAGTTTCTTAGCATAGGTAGGTGAACTTGTGCATTGTCCATCCTTCAAGCCCAATGGACTTTCATGTGAGGGGGCGTGTTAGAGAATAGTATAAATCATTAAAAAGACCTTCACTTAACAGCTTAAATGATGGAACCTATTTTTATAAAACTGAAAATGATGAAAACATAAATGGTGCCAAACTCCTTACAAAGATAAAATACAGAAAATAAACCTAGAAATCTCAACTCCCAGAGATCCCCAATTTCCCCATAAGCCAATACTGAATTCATGCATATCTACACTACACACATTGCCTACCTTTTATCCTATACTTCAAGAATGTTTTAGAATAGTTTCCATAACAAGCTAACTAATTCACTAATTTTCAGGCCCATGGCCCATCATTAAACTTTTGGATTGAATTGGTTCTTTACATGGTATCAGAGCCTCGGTGTCACGAGTTCGATCCTTACCGCCTCCATTTAGTTAATAATTAATTAAGTCTTACGGAGTTTGTTAGCACAGGTAGATGGGCCTGTGCGGTGTCCACCCTTCAAGCCCTGTGGGCTCTCGTGTGAATAGGCATATTAGAAAAATATAATACTATTAATGTAACCTCACCTAATAGCTTAAGCTTTTAGGTTGAATTGGTTTTTTGCACATACAATACTGAGCACCTTGTATCTCTTATAATGAATCAGTGCTCTCATATATACCACTATATAAAAAGAAAACTTGATAGTCCAGCTAACAACTGTTCTGCAATCAACATGGTAACAGCAAAAAGCTTCCTTCTTGAATTATTTATTATTATTATTATTATGATTTTATCAATTTACAAACAAATTTCCATTTTGTATTCAATTTAAGAAAAATATATTTTGATATCAACTATTACCAGACATTGTGAGAGCACTCTTTAAAGCAAAACACTGAACCTTAACTTCAATTGAATATTACCCATTCAAACAAGAGATGCCAAGAGCCATCCCCAAGACTTTAGCCTCTTTTATCATGCAAGAAAATTCAGACCCCATGTTTCTCCGTAATGATGTCACTTTTTGCAAGTCAGTTTCATTTTGTGCTACCTGCATAATTATTATTGACTAACTAAAGTTAGTATAAAAGAAATTAAGAAAAGGAAAGAATATATGAGAGACGGCAAAAGAAAAAAGTATGAGAGAGCTACCAACCTCCTTTCCAACGTTTAAGCGTCGTCTATAAGTTGATAATTTAATGGCAGGAATTGACCCATCTACCAGACATCAAAGATTACTCATAAGGAAGGAATATAAAAGAATAGTGAAAATGCAAACACATTCAAAAAGAAAATAAGCAGAATGAACGGTAATAAAAACATCAACAAGAAAGAACAAAACTACCCCCTATGACTAAGTTTAAGTCAATGACATACACAAAAAATTTCAATTAATAAAGCTAACTTGGGCTGATAGGGTAATATGAAATGGCTGATAGGGTCATATGAAATGTATTACATGTATTCTTTTATTTGATTGTGTCAATCGAACCATACCATATCATAGGGATTGAGATGTGACAATTAAAAGGACCAAAGCTCATGCAAATAATAAAAGTTGGGTGTTGAAAGTTGATAAAGAAAAAAAACATTTCAGAGAAAGCTTATCCAAAAAGCTTAGGCCTATATCTCTAACATTTTGTAATTCTTCTGAGCATTGTATTATACTCACTTCCATAGAACCATAAATTGTTACTTCTGCTTCATGATCAACTAGCTCACCTGACCCTATACATTTGGATGGAGAAGTTTGGAAGGAAAAGGAATAAACAGATAATTTTTCATTTATAAATAGAGCGAATAATAAAATGTTGATGAAAGTGGATAAGGGATGATTGGAAAGTTACATAACAATCAATCATTTTGTTCTTCTCATTTGAACAATTCTAACATAAGGAAAATGCTCACTTAAAGTGAAAAATTCCTCCTGGACACTTCCCTCCTCCTACCCCAAGGACGTCCCAGGCTCAGTATAGGTTTTGCTGAATGCTTTTCAATACTAAGCCTATCCAGCATATGCACAAGCAGCACAACACCAAACGCTCACAATCTTAAGAATAAGCCACTTCACTATATATATAGATATAAAAAGTTAAAAACTGACTTAGAACAAATTGTCTCAGCATTCCTAAATTATGCCCACGACTTTTATAACCAAACTATCAGATCTAATGCCAATCACCAACCACCACAGTAACAAATACATATAAGCATAGTTACATACATACCATCACTTATTCCAACAGTCTAAAGTGATCGGTTTCAAATCTAACCATAAACATAAGTCACTCAGTTTGTCCATATTTCTCACAATTGAACTACCCTGCACACACTATACTAAATGCTCACTAGTAAAGACTAAATAGGTGCAAACAGAGCTACTCAAATTTCCAGTTTAAAAGTCTCAGTCACACAGTTACAGAAAAATCACCTCTTTCTAACAACCAAACACATAATTTAAATTGAAAAATAAAATAAAAATGCCCCTTATGGACACACTTTTTTTATTCTGTTTTATCTAAAATTCCATAAAACTGAAAGCTAATTTTCACTTCTCGAACCGAGTAAAACACTGAAGAGAAGAGCAAAACACAAAGGGAACAAACCTGCAACGAAAACGACACTGCAATTCAGTGCAATGAGTGCTCTGAGTCGATGAAAGAGTCCTCTGAGGTACACTTTCTCCTTCAAAGAGGCGTGTGATTTGCTCACTTTCTGAAGCTGCTCCAACCAACACGAGAGATCCACGCACACCCTCTTGTTCCTGAACCCAGAATCCAACACAGACCCACGTCAATTCACCAAAACAGGAACACAATTCCGCAAGAAAAAACAGATTTTTGATTGGCAGACGAGAAAGTAAGGGAAAATTTGCGTAACTGGAGATGGTTAAGGGGAACCGTTTTCTTGCACGATTCGAGCACATCCCACAAATTCTTCACTCCCATGAGAATGGAGAATGAGACACAGAGATTGTTCTACCAGAGAGGGAAAATGGAGAGTTTTGATTCAAGTTTCAAAGTTTGAAATCGAAATGCCCTTCGTAAAACGACCTCGTTTTCATATCTATGCTGCAACTTTTTTTTGGGTGGTTAAAATACATGATTGGTATCTATAATTTAACCAGATATAGGTTTTGTCTCCTAATATTCAAGTCATATTTTTTTAATTAAAAGTGAATATTAAACTTAAATTTAAAGTTATTATTCTGATAGATGAGAATATATATATATATATATATATGGGGTTTACATATCTGCAGCTGTTGTACGTGCAACAATCAAATACTTGTCATATATATACGTGAAAGCATTAAATGCAGCAAATCATAATCATACAAAAGATGAAAGCATTAAATGTGGGGAATCATAACCATACACCTGTCGTTTCTGTACGTAAAGCGGTTGTAGAAATAATTATATACATATATATATATATATAGGGAAGTATCCGTTTAAAAAAAAATTTTGTACAAATTACACTATCTTCTCCTGGAAAAAGATAGTGTAACTAGCATTCTTTCGGAAGAAGATAGTATAATTTGTAAACAAAAAAATTTGTAAATATAACCTACCCTTATATATATATATATATATATATATATATATATATATATATATATATTTTAAAAAATTCATTTAAATTAAATGTTTTTTTAAGATAATACTTTTTTGTCAAAAGAATCATATGATTTTGCTTTGAATCACCTACTTTTCTATTTTATTTTTTATAATCGCTTACCCTCTTATGATTTTTTTTTTTCAATCCAAACTCATCTTTAGCACCAGAGAAATTTAACTAATCAATCTATTCTCTTATTCTAAGACCAAATATGTTAGAAAAGTACAAAATTGATTTTTTTTCTTCTATTCCTTTTTTATCTATTTCTTTTAACAACAATAGAAAAGATTAAAAGTGAAAAAAATAAAAATAGAAGGAAAAAAGACCAAATATGTCTAAATTAAAAAAAGAAAAGAAAAAATAAGATCAAATATATCGAAACTTACCATACTAATTTTTTTGTCTTATTTTCCAAGTGAAAAGGGGTGGGAACAGTGACCAAAATGTCACTTTTCATCAAGTTTTTTACCTAAATGCCACGCGAACAGGGTTATTTCTCAATATGTCACGTGGGCAAGTTCGCTGGGCACTGTAGCGAACTCTGTTGCTGACGTGTCACGTTGGTAGCGAACTTGGTTGAAATACATATTCCAACCAACTTCGCTATCCAATGTAGCAAATTTGGTACTTTTTTTTTTACTTGATACTTGTTATCCACTAGAAACATGACACGTCAGCAAATAGAGTTCGCTACAGTGCCCAACGAACTTTCTCACGTGGCATATTGAGAGATAACATTGTTCGCGTGACATTTAGGTAAAAAACTTGATGAAAAGTGACATTTTGGTCGGTATTCCAAGGGAGGGAGAATGGTGGGCTGGTGGCTTTAGTGAGGAGAAATAAGGGCGAAATGGGAAAGTAAAAAAGAGAAAAACGGTATTAGATATTTAGAAATATAGTGTGTATGCACAAAGACCTTTTTGCCATTGAATTTTTCTCTCTTCTACAATCCATTAATTTAAATAATTAAATTAAAGTTTTTAGTTAAATGGACTTAGGTGGAGTGTTTCACGCATAATTAATTCTAGATTCTTGATAATTTTTGCATATACATAATTTTGTTCCAAAAATTTTAATATTTATACTTTTGCCCTAAATTACGATTTAACTCAAAATTAGATTTTTTTTTTTTTTTTACCTAATTTAGCTTCTCAATTGACTCATTAATTCCATTTTTTCCAAAGTATAATTCAGGTTATTATACAAAGCAAGCTTATGAGTAGGGATGTTATCGGGCCGAGCCGAGCTTTGGTCTTAAAAGGTTAAGCTTGTGTTTATATGTGTCAGCCTGACCAAGCCTGTTACCTGTTATAAATATAATTTCAGCCTGTGGCCTGTCTTATTTACAAAAAAATAAAAGTCTGGTTTAGCCTCTTAACCTGTTTAAAACAAAAGAAGACAACACAAATTTATCCAAACAAAATATACAGTCAACAACATTAGTAATTCCATAAATATTCATAAATTTAATGTATATCAAAACAGTATAATATAAAACAAAATCATTCAAAAAGTCTATTTAATTAATAAAATGGGATGAAATGGATTGAGGAGAGAGAGAGAGCTATCACAAGTAGTATAAAAAATATAAAATAAAAAAATTAATATATTAGGCTAGCCTGAGAGGCTCTAAGGCCGAGCTTTTAAATTGGAGCCTGATGCTTTTTTATTAAACGAGCTTTTATACAAGTCCAAGCCTTGTTCCAACAATCAATTTTAGACATAAAAGCTCAGGCCTTCACGAGCCGAACCAAAAGCCCTGTAAGGGGCTCCTGTCCTGTTTAGCACCCTACTTATTATGAGTTTTTGGAGATGCAATAACGTATGACACGACGTATATGGCTAATAAGTATTCCATTTCATTTAGACCTTTTGCCGATGTAAATAGACCATATGCAGTCGTTTTTGCTCGGATAAGCTCTATTTCTTTTTTTAGAGTTACACAACCCTAATTATCTCTTTAAGACGAGTTGGCTCCCTCCGGTATCCCCACGAGCTTCGACTCTTTGAGCCGGCTATGGGACTAATCTGGAGTGCGGAAATGAGAAATATCCATTATTGATCAGGTATGAACAATTTGATGAACTCTATTTCAACGTTTCATATATTATCTTAAATATGATTGTTTATTAGTGAATGCAAACTTGTTAACGCCATTAAATTTCTAGGACATGAGGGTTAACAATGCAGTCTCCAAAGTTTTCTAAAAAACCAAGCATCGATTTTGTTTGTAACATGTCATAAATTTTTTTTTTATATATCACAGGTCTACATGAACACGTGTCATTTGAGAAATATTTTAATGAATGTTTACAAAGAGAGTACTAAAAGTTTGAAGAAAGATGACAATATTTTTTTATTGAGTATCGTCTTGATGGAAATGAATGTATTTATTCAATTAGATCATCATGGGTGGTAAATTTAACCATAGTTAGATTGCCAGTAGGGGATAATAAATTTAATTGATGGCAAGGATAACAATTCCTTTAAAAATAATCTTACATAATTCTTATTACAAATTTTTTAAAATAAATATTAAATAAATATAGAATAAAATAAAATGCGTGTTGTGCACCTTAAACAATAGGTTTCAGTTCACATCTTTTGTGATAAAAAATGAAAATATAATTTTTCATATTTATCTTATGCAACACATAAAAAAGTAGATGGGATCTATTTTTTTCTTCTTCTTCTTAATAGGTTCCACCCCTTTTTGTGTGTGTTGCATGAGATAAATTATCTCATACAATATAAGAAACTATATTTTCATAAAAGGTTTAATATGTTGTATCTCCTACACACACTTAAAAGTGTGTAAGATTATATTTTTTTTCTCTCTTTTATTCACATGAGTCTCACACAATTTTATGTATGTATAAGAGATAATTTTATTTTCTACAATCTATGTGTGTGTCTATATATATATATATATATATATATATGTATGTATGTATATATATAAGGACACTTTTCCTTTAACGGCTATAGAGAATTGTTATTTGCAGCTGACAAAGAAAAGTGAGCCACACTGCTTTTCTTTAAAAAAAAAAAAGCTGGGATATAGTTGCGTATCCTAGGATCCGGAATCATATCCTCCTTGCTGTATGTGTAGCGGCTATAGAAATGATTTTGCATATATATATATATATATATATATATATATATATATATATATATATATATATATATATGGTCAGATCATTTTACACCAGTGTAAGTTACACTATTAATCTTGTTCGTTGGTCCCACTTATATCAAGGGCTCTAATTTTTTAGTAATGTAAGTCATTTGATACAAGTGGATAAATGGTCAAGATTGAGTGTAAGACTTTAACTCTTACACCGGTAAGAATATCATGCCTCATATATATATATATATATACACACACACACACACACACATATATATATATATGAGAAAAATGTTTGTCCTTTTAAATGACACAACTTGTGTAATTTTACTCTCACAAAAAGGTGAGATTCACACCTTTATATTTTTTTGTCCACTCTCTCCTCCTTTATCTATGTCTTTTTATTACTTAAAATGATATAACTTTGTATCCTTTAAAATGATACATACATATATATATATATATATATATAGGGTTATATTTATCTCATTCAACATAAGATAAACCAAATTCCTACACACACATAACAAAGGTGGGTTCCACCTCTATTTTTTCTCTTTCCAATTATTTGTGGGTCCCTCTTATAATTTTGTGTCACTAACATGAGATAACTTATCTCCATCAACATAAGAAAAACATTTCCCATATATATATATATATATATATATATATATATATGTCGCCTTACAATAGTACAAGTTGAAATAATGGAGAGGTGTTTACCGGATAAAAAAATAAAATAATGGAGAGGCGGATGGCAGTGATGCAATGAAAAGGCATGTATAGCACTTAGGGAAAAAAGATTAATTAATTGTAATTTAAATAAAAAATTACGAATTTATTATTGTTTTAAATTATTTACACGTGGAATCAAAAAAAAGTTATGTGGAATCGAGTTAAAAGTAATAATCTTCTAAAGTTTTATGTTAAATTGTTAATTTTTTGTGACATGTGTCAATACACCAGACGAGTTACGCTTAAATTAAACGTGATTGCCTCGTGGATAACACATAACTTAGGCGTGACTGATGACGCTCAATCTGAACGTGACACACTACAATACAAATGTAATCCATTATAAGTATATTGCGTTAAACTAGTACAGCCTAATATCTAGTCTATAAATGGAAAATGCTTATATTTATGAGTGAGAATATTCTAATTATTAAAAATTCTCACTACTAACTTATTAGTTAT